TGCTGGGCTCCGGCGATCCTTCTGCCTCAGCCTTCCGAGTAGCTGGAATTACAGGCATGCGCTACCACGCCCGGCTGATTTTTTGATTTATTGTAGAGATGAGGTCTCGCTGCCCAGGCGGGTCTCGAACCCACGGGTTCAGGCAATCCACTCACCTCAGCCTTCCAAAGGCGCGGGATTACAGGCTGAGCTACCTAGCCCGGCTTATTTATGATTTTAAAATGTATTCATTAAGGGACACTATGAGTAGGAAGCAGAACCAAACCTCTCAGGAGGGTTAGAGAGGGTTGAAGTTAAGGTGTGGTAACTATGCTCTTACAGGTTATTGGCTGTTACACAAAGAAAACCTCAGTGTCATGTTCACAAACTCCTCAACCCACATCTTAGGTAGCCATCTGGCATTCTCCAGAGTAGGGACTATAAGGGGATGTAATAAAAAAGGGTAGAGGAAGAGCCTCCAGGAACTGCTATCCAAGTGTGAGTTCATGAATAAGGTTTCCCTCTGGTTGTAGGGTCCAGAAGCCATATAGATAGAGGGGAGGCTTGACAAACAACCAATCTAGAATACTCCTGAGGAGGAAGTAAGGAGGTAACAGGGAGCAAAGGATCAAACAAGGTCAAGGCCACCAACAAATTTGGCCACAATGAAAAAACATTTCAGCACCACTACCACTACCTCCACATCCCCTCCCAGGGTAGATTTGTATAGATATACCTCGGAGTTGGGCTTTGGGTCCTAGCTCCACACCTTCCATACCCTGATTCTTTAAACTGATAACTACCCTCTTCTTATCTATCTTGGAAACAGGCCCCATCTCCCCACTGCCTTCCACAAAAGAAAAAGGAAGCAGGAAGATTAAATGCAAGGGAGATGTGGGGTGAGGAGTTTGTGATCATGACACAGAGGTTTTCTTTGTGTAATAGCCAGTACCCTGTAAGCTGGGAGGTCTTCTGACACTTTCAACCTCCCCCTCTATCCTTGACCTCACCCTCAGCATTTTCACTCTTTGGTGGTATTTCACTCCATCCATCGGTTTTTTTCCTGACCATCCATGGACAACTTAAAAGAGAGCTATGGGACCACAGGGAGTCACGGCTCTGACTGGCAAAAGGTGACTGGGTGGTTTGGAAGGCTGGTTGGCACTCTCCCTCCTAGGCTGGAGCCAGGAGTGACCTTGGAGATGTGAGTTACAGAATCATGGCTGGGGAAGGTTCCAGATGGCTGGAAAGGTTCTGGATGGCAGGGGAGGAGGGGTGAAGAGAGATAGTCTGGAAAAGTGTAATCATTCCCTTCTGGAAAGTATGGAGAAGGAGTCAAGAGGAGGCAGGCAGCAGGATCAAGCCATGTAATTTTCAGAAAGGAAAAGACCTTGCAAGATTATAGAAAGGAGAGGAGTGAACCTAGAGGACAAGAATTATCATGCTGGAAAGGGTGGGCATAATGATGCAGTAAGGTCTCAGGGCAGGTACCAGGAGAGGGTACAGTTCCCAAGTATTGAGGCAGGCTGCAGAACTCAAAGAGGGAAGAGGAAAGGGAGATATATTATAGAAAGGGAATTCATTTTGCCTGAGGGACACTTTTCTTTGGATGAAATAGGAGATGTGATCACATGTCCAGGATCAGGGTATGCTTGGGGTACTGAGGAGAAAGAAACGGAACCATCACTGGAGAACTTTCCTAGAGAATGAACAGTAGGACCAGGTAGGACATGAGCTTCAGGGTCAGTGGCAGGGAACTGAGGTGCAGTGAAAGCTCTGTTGAAAGCTTTGGCCACAGTATCCATGCTGGGCTCCAGCTAGAGCGAAGCAGAATAGAGCTAATGCCTATGTAGATAGGGAGTACCCAGGGAGTGCCAGGAAAATGTCCTGCTGGCTTATGAGATCCCAGAGAAGAGGGAACGATGTGTGTTTTGTTTCTCTGGTATCTATCCTCTCCCAACTGACAGGAGGATATCAGAAAGGCTCAAAGATAAGGACCTAAGGCCATAAACAAGCAGACCAAGGGTTAAGATCTTTGATGTGCAAGACCAAGATTGGGAGGTAGAGGACTCTGGTGCCAAGGAGGCTGAGCAACAGTGAAGTTGTAGGATTTGATCAATAATTGACACATGCTGAAATTACAGAGGACAATAAACAGAGATGAAGAATGAGAACCCCCTGCTGAAGTCAACATAACAATTGATTTGCAAGACATTAATGGATACACTTTTTTTTTTTTAAGGGAATAAGGTAGTTTGGAAAATGCCAGACTAAACAAAGATAAAGTTCTTTATCGCAGGACTACCCAGAGCCTTAAAATGTTCATGTGCTTTAATGAACACTGTAACTCTCCAGGAAGGAGAGCTATAATATGCAGTATTGCCCAGACATCTTTGAGGAAAGAACCCCCTTTCCTTTGTAGGATATCATCTTGTGGAACTCTTAGAAGAGATGTGAGTCCAGGGTACAAAAGATTATACCACAGAAGCATAGAATTTCCCTGGGAACAATGGAAAATGATGTAGGTGGGAGAGAAGGAAGTAAAGAGAGGCCCCAAAGGAGGTATGTGAGGATAATAGGGGTGAAATAAATGGACCCTGCAGGAGAAGATTGGATAAAAGGGCCTATGGGTGCTGTGAGTGGGACTTATAAGTAACACAAAAGGAAGCCAGAATGGCTAAGAGGATCCCGCGGGCTGCTAAGAATAGGGCAGGGCTGGAACAATGGAGGCTCACTGAGGGACAACCACAGATCCTGTCGCGCACACACGTGCATGTGCTCATGTGCAGAAGCCATGGAGCCACCCTGGATAATTCCAGATTCATGTTCCCATAGCAGCATGGCTTTCCTTTCACCTGGCCAAAGCTGAGCACCAGCAAAAGAAGGTGGGCATGACCAAGGGTCTCTTTCTCTGCTCATCATCTTCTTTGCAGGGCTTTCTTCCTCTCAGAAAGAAATGCAACTGTTATATTGTATCAGTTCATTCTGGGTTTCTTTATTTGGCTTTATTTTTGTGTTTTATCTTTTAAAAGCTCAGGATATAAGGGGTAGTTTAATTTGGTTGCTGTTTGGTGTGTTTTTTGGTTCGTTCTTTGTGTTTGTTTTTTTAGATGCAGATGTAGCCAGTCATTATCTCCCTGGTACACCCCAGTGTCCTTCCCAGGCACAGAAAGGCAAAGTTCCCTAAGCCCAGAAGCTCTTGGCACTACAGGTGCAGATGAAATATGCTCATCCCAGGCTGATCGGCTCACATCAGCACATGGGGGTGAATGGGACACACCAGCCTACTTCATTCTGCTCAGGCATGTTTCCACCTGCCTCATCCCTGACTGCCTTCCTGGCACACTGCTTCTATGAGCTCCATTAGGACAACTCCCTACCCCTTGGGAAGATCTTTTCTGGGGTTGGCTGGATCCTGCTCCTGGGCTGTGACTGAATTTACATGGGAAAAAATAAACCATGAACATCAAGCAAGGGTCCCCATGTTAGAGTGTCTTGTGTCTGCACTCATATGACCCGAACTGATGTGGAATAGGAGGTTACACATTAAATCCCAGAAAGGTCTCCTAGAGGAGGCAACTGACTTGAAAAGAGGTTCAAACTGGTAGAAGGTGTGGGGAAGGTGCTGCAGAGGGAAGGAAGTGTCAGGTACAAGAGAAACGGGAGAATCAGCAGGATACTCAGGGGGCAGGAAGGACATTAGGTTGACTAAGGGCCATAAAAAGAAGGAAGACCAGATTGGGATCCCACCGGGCCATGGGCCACATTCTTGGGAGCATAGACTACAGAGATTAGGAGAAGTCAGAGGCCTGACACTGCCCTTTAGACTCCAGGACTTCTGCACAAGTTCTTATGCTCAGCAAGCATTCAGAATCCAAGTTCACAAAGGCTTTGGAAGTTGTCTTACCTATGCCTCTCCCCATACTGAAATCGCTACTACTTAATCCTGCCAAGGATTCAGCCTGTGCTTCAGCATCTTCAGTGACAGGGTGCTCACTACCTAACAAAATATTCAAGTCCCTAATGGGGAATGGTAGCTTGCATGTCATTGTCATCTAACAGCAACTACAATAATAAAATACTATTACTACTACTGTTAATAATAATTATTATAATATAGAAGGTACTCTGTACTTTCCAAAGGCTTCTACTTACTCTCATTGCATCCTGCCCTCACCTGCCACACCTATACTCTGAATCACTGATCTCTCACTTCTCTCTGACAAGGTGGGAGACAGTTGCTGCTTGGCTTCTCCTTTCCCACATCCCCTCACCTCTTTGACTTCTCTCTATTTTTGCTGTAGTTCATCATCCAAGCTAGCAGTGCTGTGGAGTGAACCTCTGCACTATGGGACCAGACTGGTTTTTATTCTGTGACTCCACTGCTACACCCTGTAGACAACCAGAACCACCCAGCAATAAGGGTTCCATCTATGAGGCAAAAGCACTTGGGCATGTTTCTTAAAATGTGATCCTTGGTTTCTCACATTGCCTATCCCAGCCCCTGCCTCAGACCCTGCCAGAAATTCTGATCCAGGAGCCTGGAGTAGAACCCTGGAAGAAGCACACAGAGTGATGCACCTTTTGGTATGAGAATGGCTCTGGTCAGTCATTGGCATCAATTACATCAGGGGTCAGAAAACATTTTTTGAAAGGACCAAAGAGTAAATATTTTAGGCTCACAGGCCAGCTAGTCTTTGCCTAACTACTCAACTCTGCCATTGTCACGGACACTGCCTGCAGCAGGCTGAATAATGGCCCCCAAACACATCATGGCAAAGACTTTGCAAATGTGATTAAGTTAACCATCTTGAGATGGGAAGATTATCCTAGGTTATCCAGTTGGGTCCTAAATGCAGTCATGAGCATCCTTAAAAGAGAGAGGCAAAGGGGGATTCTGACACAAACAGAAGAGGAGAAGACAATTTGACTATAGAGGTAAAGATGGAAAAGATGCAGCCACAAGTTAAGGAATGTCAGTAGTCACCAGAAGCAGGGAGAAGCAAGGAACAAATTATTTTACTAGATCCTCTGGAGGTAGCACGGCCCTGCTGTCAGCTTGATTTCAGCCCAGCAAAATTGCTTTGTGGCCTCCAGAGCTGTGAGATAATAAATTTCTGCTGATGTAAACCATCAAGTTTGTGGTAAATTGTTACGATGTTAATGAGAAATTAATACACCACCTACACAAATACATAGGACTGTCTTCCAATAAAACTTTATTTATAAAAATCGGTGTCTGGCTTACAGGCTATAGATTGTTGACCCCTAAATTAGCCATTAAGACATTCAAGAGCACAAGAGAAGTCAGAAATGACTATTTGGAAATCACTATTCAGCGAAAACAAAAACAAAACACTTAAATGCAAGCACTCACTTGAATTACCTTCACTAGGAAAGAGAGATAAAGAGGAACCAAACGTTTTCTTTAGTCTCCTGTCCCTGACCCATGCAGAAATGAAGCAAGTGGACAAACTCTCCCAGCCAGAGCATCTACCACAGGGGTCTCTGTGGCTCAAGCCAGGTAAGGGAGGGTAAGGCAGGGTGGGGTATGTGGGAAACCCACTTGTGGTTGTGAGTGTTCCCTAGAATACTAAGCTGGGACGAGGACTCTCCTTTCTCTTTCTGTCTGCCTCTGCAGAAAGGCAGCAGCTGCCCCAAGCATAACTTCCACTCTCGCTTCTCTCTCTCACTAACACACAAAGAAGTGAGAGTCTGAACACATGTGTGCACACACAACTTCTCTAGGTCCCTTACAAAGGAAAGTCCTACAGATACTCACCAGAAACGAAGGCCACTTTTTCCTTTAGGATAGGAAGGACATCAGAAGCTTTCAAACCATCATTCCGAAAAGACCCTGTGGGACAACAAAACAGAAGGAATCAGGGTGAGGGGGCCAGCTGATTGAATTCCTGGTCCCACCCCCAGCCTCCCAACCCCATCATTGGCCAGCAGGTTCTACCTTGACCAGGCCACAGCCCAGCCCAATGAACCAGGAGAGGGTCCACACAGAAAGAACACTTCCACATGATGCCAGGCCATGTGGTGACCAGGATCAAAACCTCCTGATCCTTCTTGAGGAGAGAACAGTCCAAATCACCCCACCACCACACGTACAAACCCCCATGCCCTGGGAGCAACAACAACGGTCCTGTTGCTGTAGAGTAACCTGGTACACAGTTGGCACTCAGTAAATATCTGTTGAATTAGTTAATACCAAGATGAATTACAATGCCCTAAATAATTTTTCTTGCCTCTTCTTTAAGTGGCACAGTGACTATTCGTCTTCATTTTACAGATGGGAAAACTAGACCACAAAGCTGTCACAGATGGAAGCAAAGTAGATGACAATACCTTCTCCACCTCTCTTCCTCTTCCCCCTCAATGTCATCATCCCAGTCCACGATAGACAGGAGGTGGGGAGACACAAACCTCCTAAAGGAAAATGCACTATCTTCTTTAACTTGTTCGCTTTCTAAATCTTGCTTTTCAGTTGGAAAGTCCTTTCTAGGGTCTAGCTGAGCTCCTGTGAGGGGGCTGGAGGCAGAGACTCAGGGCTTGCAAAGAATGGAAAACAAATACGTGCCTGGAGAAACAGTAGCCTCGGGAGGCAAAGGACAACCCAGCCCAGTGTAAAATGTGTGGGAAGGGAGGACACAAAACCCCAAGCTAGCCCACTGCACCCTTTCATTTCACCCAAGCACCCCATAAGGACTCTCAGGAAGAGCCACCCCCACTCATAGTTCTTCAAGCTATAACTGGGGTCTCTGTTGTATATCTAGGGATATAATACAAATGGACCCTGGGAGATGTGTGGTTCTATGCCAATTCAATGAGACAGAATCGATGAGACCATGGATACCATCTCTGGTGCCTTTTTCCACTTGGCTTACACCCTTGGAGTCCAAATCCAACAATCTACAGAGGAGAATAATGTGCTAGGCAGGACGGTTCCACTCAGTCCCTCAATCTCTAAACACTGACTGTTTCATGAGACCCACCTAGGAATTTTGGCCACCATCCAGGAGTAAGATCGCTGGCCTAGAAAATGGAAATGGCCTGTTATACACTCAGCCAAGGCGGGAGAGAGATGTGCCCTCTGGAACGTCAGTTTCCATGGTCAGAGGTCATATCCTAATCTGAAACAAATTTCCAAAGTGTCTCTAACCATTTCACCTATTTCTTCTTTCGCTAAATGAAGACAGTGAATCTTTTCATTCATCAGTTGCTTCTCTTTACAAGTTGACAGAGAACCAACTACAAGGCTCACTTTGAGAAGTCCTTGAGCAACAGAAAAAAAAGTAACGCCATAAAAAAGAAAGCTCTAGCTTCAAAGACTAAGTGTTGTTTTGTACCTTCTATCTTTAGTTTCTACAGATATTTCTGCTTTAACGTTATCTTCCACAAAGAAAAACAATTGAATCTCACCAAACAATTAAATCAGACAAATTAGAATCAACATAAATTATTATAAAATTTACAAATAGATACATAAAGTGTTTTTTCATCCTCATGCAACAAGGAGATATTTCAGCTTACTTGGCAAGGAAGAGTTTCTATGGAAAAAAATTGGTATAAAAAGTCAAATTTCAGTCTTGTCTTCTTCCAGATTATTTACAAATTCAAAAATAGCAAGGCCCAAACTAGTAAGATTTTACTGTACAGAAGGATTGCACATAACCCTCTTCTCTCCTAAGCTTCTGCCTTACTTTGTAGCTCTTCCTCTCCTCTCCTACTGTGTTAAAGTGGACAAGGCATCTCTAATTCCAAGCAGTCCAAAGACCTTAAGACTTTTGAATTTGATGTAATGAAAGTAAAAGGCTCCCCATACTATGTTCTTCCTGCTCCTACCTGTTAAGAGAGAGAGGAAGCTCCAAATCTCATCCTTCACACTCACTCATTGTGTACCACCTCTCCCATCTCCCCTCCAGAATCCAGGACCTGAGAGAAGGCATGCAGCTTGCCCATGCAGCTTGCAATCATGGGCTCCAGCAAATGTCAATATCCAGGGCTACTACTTTCCAGGCCTGAGTCCTCCCCAATCCAGTTCAGATCACTGCTGGACCTGGTTGTGTTTCCACCATAAGAAAACTAAAAGTTTCCAGATTTACAAAATCCATATCTAGAGGATAATCACTTCCAGTAACACAATAAGATTTTTCACATTATAAAAGGATTTACCCTAGGGCATTTTAAAAGAAAAATTCCCTTTGTGATCTGAATTAGATTTTCATTTGCCAAAAATGGAATTACAAATAACTTTTTAGCAATATATGTATTATGTAAAGCCAAGTAGAGCTAAACTAATTAGCCCAGCAACTCAGAAATTGGTGACCTTGCATAGAAAACCTATTTGCAGTGGCTAAAGAGCCTATGTATCAATTCCCCAAGGGCCTCTGTGAAACCAGCTGTTGGAATATATAATAAATGGTAAGTTCATTGAATGTTAACTCAAACAGGACCAATGAATAGCAACATGTTTTCACTAGCATGTACATGTCTTGGTAGATTCAAAGTAAATGTTGAATAAATATTTGATTAGCCGGGCTCGGTGGCTCAGCCTGTAATCTCACACCTTTGGGAGGCTGAGGTGAGTGGATTGTCTGAGCCCGCGGGTTCGAGACCCGCCTGGGCAACCTGGCGAGACCTCATCTCTACAATAAATCAAAAATCAGCCGGGAGTGTTAGCGCGCGCCTATAGTTCCAGCTACTTGGAAGGCTGAGGCGGAAGGATCGCCGGAGCCCAGCAGGTCGAAGCTACGGTGGCCAGGAGCAGCCACTGCACTCCAGTCTGGACGACAGAGTGAGACTCCAACTCAAAAAAAAAAAAAAAAAAAAAAAAAAAATATATATATATATATATTTGATTAAAGACTAGATGAATGAATAATATGTTAACCCTCCCTAATATAACTTACACAAAGTCAGAGGCCTCATCTGTCACACCAAATACTAGAGATCTGAGTAGATGGTCTCCAAGGTACCACTCAGCTCTGATGCTCTGAGACATTCTAAACTGCGTCTTCCTATCTGTTGGCCTTTACTATCCCAGTTTAGCAGATCAATATGCTTTAAAAGTAAGTACTAGGAGTAAATTCTCTTAACAAGAGTCAGTGCACCTTGGGAAGATAAAACAACTCTTCCCTGACTTCCCAGCCCATTTCCTCTCCCCCTCAACCCGAATCAGTTTATGAATGTTCAGGAGTGGGTCACCACATTTTGCAGGTGGCTCAAACTGCCAGAATGGGAAAACAGTAATGGAAGAACTTCTGGAGGCATACATACCCTGAAGGAGGCAAGCCTAAACTACAGCTGCTATTTCTGATACAAGTTATATTTGATAACACTATTAGACAATAAACTCTAGATTAGTCTTAGACCAATTTCCTTCTTTAAAAAAACAACCACATTGAAACAGTAGGCCCCTTACTACTTCTAAAGAAGGCCTAAGAAGACATAAAAATCCCTAAGCCCTTGGAACTAACTGCAGAGAAAAACAAAAAACAAAATCAGAGGGCACCCTTGTGGACCTGACCCAACGTGGGTGTTCTGCTTTTTCTTAAGGACAAAGGCATGTTCCACTGGCATTCAGTACTAATCCCACCCCATTCATGTCCTGCTGCTGTCAGAATTATAAGCCTGCTGTTCTGTTAATTAGCAAAGCTGAAACACTCTGCATCTATTAGGGAAGTACAAATTACCACCACCACCTCCCTAGGACCCTGCAGCATGGGTCTTCTCCAAGCCCCATGTTCACTCCTCCTTGCTCCAAACATGTCCAGCTTACATTGCCACTGCCTTTTCCTCCTCACATCTTTCTAGTCACCAGTTCCTATTTTGGAAAATGCCAATCGCCCTCATTCCAGCTCCCAGCCTCCATGTGACCCCAATGGCAATGACTGTGAGCCACAGGCTCTGTCTGTGTTTTGTGGGTCTGGAATAGCAGTAAATCCCCCACGGCAGCTGGATGCCTTGTGCTCTATGCTAACCTCCTTCAGAAAGCAATCCTGACTTCAACAAGTGAAGGAACCAACAACAGAGTGGGCATTTGTTGAGCATTTAGAAATGCAAGCTGTCAGAGTATTCATGGATTGCTCTTTGTTTCCTTTTGGTTCTCAGCCACACCCTCTTAATTTGTCCTTGTTTAGGAGTTACTATGTAAGTACTCTAATGTTACTTCAAGTGGGCCTGAGCTCCACTTCTGGAAATTTCCCAATGCTTGGGTTCCTGCCTTCCCTTTCTACTCCATCCCTGTGGTGTCCAGCATAAAAACCTTGCTCTAAATGGCACCGAGTCACTGACTCACAGGCTGCACAAAGAAGATCTGGTTTACCATGGAGCGTTCCAGAAGCTCATTTGACTGGACCTTAGTTTGGTTGTAATTGTCACATTTTCCTATTCCTAGGGTCACTCTCATCAATTCTTTGTTGTGTACATATTATGTGCTAGGCCTTATGTCAGGCTTTAATGGCACTAAGACAAATAAGAAATAGATCTTGCTCTCCAGGGGGTTTCCAAGCAGAGATAAGTATGCAAACAGGACAATAAGCTTTTATCAGAGACAGGACATCGCCTGTATGAAATGCAAGGGGGCTCAAAGGAAAGGTTTACTAAAGGTGTGTTCTAAAGCCTTGCTACTCAAGGTCATAAGTATCACCTACCACCTAAAACCTTTTAGAAGTGCAGAATCTCAGGTCCCATCCCAGACCTCAGAGTCAGAACCTGCATTTTATCAAGAATCTCAGGTGATTCACATGTACGTTACTTTTTGGGATTCTGTGCACCAAAGTATTTTTCTCCATTCTAGATCTGCTTCAGAGGCAGGATAGAGAAAAGCTTCCTTTAGCCTGGCCTAAACAGGTCCTCTAAAATTTGTTCTAGCACTGTTCATCATCCCTCCAGCCCCCACCATGGGAAGATCCCTCACCACTGCCCAGGGATTCCAGAGATTCAGCCATTACCCTATAGCCTATAACTCAAATTCAGCTCTAGAATAAAAAGGCTATCTGAGAGATAGATAATTTCCTCTCTGGGACATTAAGACTGGACCATGTATTCTTTTTTGGTGGCAGGATTGTTTATGAATAACACCTGTCCAAGCTGCTCAGCATTTTGGTAGCTTAAACTACTCCTTCATATATCAGATATTTTCATTTCATAACAAATCTTCCTTCCTATCCTCAGAGCTCTGCTTTCTCTAACTGCTCTTGGTACCAAATATACTGCCACTGATCATATTTACACACCAACATGTCATCTCTGAGATGGCTCTGGAGGACAGAGGAGCAAGTCAGTTTATGTCTTTTTTCCCCACCTGCACCCCCATTCACAGTTGCAAAACCCTGAACACTGGGAAATACAGAGGAGGGAGAGGTGCTCCACCTGGGGAGTTCCACATCTGAGAACACAGTGGTCATCTCAGGCAATTCTCTCCCTTGGAAGAGAAACCCAGTTTCTGCTCTCTGAGGGTTTTCAGCTCAATAAAATACCTAGTGCCCATTTCCCCCTGACACCAGGAAGCTACTAGACTCTATTAAAAAACAAGATTCTAGCTGGGTTTGGTGGCTCAGCCTATAATCCCGTGCCTTTGGGAGGCTGAGGTGAGTGGATTGCCTGAGCCCGTGGGTTCGAGACCCGCCTGGGCAGCAAGACCTCATCTCTACAATAAATCAAAAAAATCAGCCGGGCGTGGTAGCACATGCCTGTAATTCCAGCTACTTGGAAGGCTGAGGTGGAAGGATCGCCGGAGCCCAGCAGGTCGAGGCTGCAGTGGCCAGGAGCGGCCACTGCACTCCAGTCTGGGCGATAGAGTGAGACTCCCACTCAATAAATAAATAAATAAATAAACAAATAAATAAATAAATAAATAACAAGATTCTGAGATTCTGATAAAGACCTTCTCACCCTGCCCCCAATTTGACCAGCCCACATCCACTATGTTCTGATGATTGGTGCCATCATCCACAGAGTTACCAAACAGAAATTTGGGAAGTATCCTCATCCCCCTCCTCCATCACACATATCAATTCAATTGCCCAGTGCTGTTGATTCTACCTCTTAAATCTCATCTATCATTTCCTCTGTGAAGTTTCCCTGACCTTCCCATCAAGTTCAGCTGTCCCTGGTTGTACCTTAGACTCTTATCACTCCTGATTGGCCTATATATGTTTTCATTCTACTCCCTTTTAATTGACCCTGATGCCTTGAGGATAGGGACTATGTTGTACTCCTTATTCTATGCCAGCATCTAGCACAGTGCCTGTCACACAAAAGAGACTCAAGAAATACTGAACGTGAGTGCATATGGGCACTAAGAAGACAGAGTAGAATAATGATCCATCAGGGCAGGCTTCAAAGGAGACAATCTTTGAATTGGGTTTTGTAAAAGGGAAGGGCCAAGGGATGGTGGAAAACAGTGCATGCCAAGGCAGAGAGGAAGGGGAAAACAAACCATGTGTCATGGACAAAGAGAGTTTATAGGCTGAACAAAAAAGCAGAGTCAAGGGGTAATGAAAAGGATGGCTGGGGGTGGGTAGTGTCTCTATGATCTGATCCGACTCCCAGTAGGTGGGAAACCTGGAAAGACATCAGCAAAGATATGGTTGCAAGTGCCTTCAGAGACTCAGAGAACTGGGTCTGTGCTACAGCAAGGAGCAGAGCTAGTTAGAACTTGGCTGACCCCAGAAGGCAGCTGTGGCACCTTAGCAGGGTTGGGCTCAGCAGGTTCTGATTCCAACTAGTAGATCACATTCTACCTTTGAGGATGGAGAAACTGGGACATGTGAACTCTGAGGAAGCTGGTGGTGGAATAGGATGTTCAAGGAGCTCTGGAACTTTGTCTCTTTTGATCTTCTCACTATGTCCCAAGAGAGACAGGAAGGGTGTATGTGAGTTACCTCCTGGGACCCCCAGGCCAGTAACAAGCTGGTAGTTTGTGTAAGACTCACGAAGATGCAATATGGAACTGAATCATAAAGGGAAGA